CCCTAGTGCAAATTTAATAAGGAAGATACAGGTTTATGAAAAAGGAAAAAGGTTTATTGCTTTGCTAGCAAAGGGAAGGCAGAGGGGACTCCTGTCCCAGAGACTGTGATTCTGCCCATACGGGGTCCAAGAAGGTTCTTCAAGAAGCTACTCAAGCTCTACATTCTAGGAGTGCCCTGAGAGGGGATCCCAGGTTTGCCCTGATGGGTACTGAAATTTATTTGCTAATTTTGAAGATAGTCACTTTCTAGATCTTCTGGTTTCCTCTCCTTCCTGTCATGAGCCAATGCTCAAAGACAGATAATTTGGCCTGGCATGGGAAAGGATAATCTAGTTTTCTGCTCACAGGTAAGGGAGGGTGAGAGGGAGAAGAGGAAAAGAAAAACATGTGCATTTCAAAATAAGCCTCCCTGGCAGAGCAGCAAGGGCTATATTCAAAGCATGAAATGGACCACTGTTACAATGGTACAGTAAAATTCCTGAGGCTTGATAATTTTTGAAGAAGTGTGTTCAGCTCACAGTTCTAAAGGTTCAAGACTATGGGGCTTGGCCTGGCCTGCAATCCCAGTGGCTTGGCAGGCTGAATCAGGAGGATCACAAGTTCAAATCCAGTATCAGTAATTTAGCAAGGCCCTAAGCAATTTAGCAAGACCTTGTCTCTAAACAAAATATGAAAAAGAGCTGGGTATGTGCTTAGTGGTTAAGCACACCTGGGCTCAATCCCTGGTACCAGAGAAAGAGAGAACATGAAGGAGAAAATGAATTAGTGTTCTAAAATGAAGTCAGGCACAGTGCCACAAGCCTGTAATCCAGCTTCTCAGGAGACTGAAGGCAGGAGGATCATGATTTCTAGCCAGAACTGGACAACTTAGTGAGTTCCTGTCTCAAAAATAAAAATTAAATGGTCTGGGAGGTATATCTCAGTGGCAAAGAATCCCTGGGTTCCAACCTTAGTACTGCAAAAAATAATAATAGCATTAAAAAATGACAACAGATTGATTTTTAAAAAATAGTCAACTCAAAAAAGTAAGCAAAGTCCTAGAACAGACTATCCAAAACAGAAGAAATCCAAAGGGCCAAAATATATGTGGAGATGTTTAAGATCACTAATAACTGGAGAAATACATGAGACAGTAGTTTTTACTGACTTAGGAAAAATTAATAGGTGTGATGATACAGAGTACTAATGGAGATAGAAAATGAAAATCAATCTAGCTGTACCCAGAAAAGTTGAAAATAAACATAAATACAACTCATCAACCTTATTTCTGAGTATGAAGACATTCAGTGAAGTACTATATGAGGTAGCTAAATTGTGCAAGTAGCTGGGCATGGTGGCGCACACTTGTAACCCTGGTGGTTTGGAAGGCCCCAAGCAGAAGGATTACAAGTTCAGAGTACCCTCAGTAACTTAGTGAGACCCTAAGCAACTTAGAGAGACCCTCTCTCAAAAGAAAAAATACAAAGAGCTAAAGATATGGCTCCATGATTCCGGGCCACTGGTTTCAATCCATAGAACAACAAAAAAATGATGTGAAAGTAATCCATTTGTCCAACAGCAGAGGAAGGGATAGAATAAAAATTGCCCATTGAATCTTGAAGTTGCCAGGATCTATGTGTGTGTAGCAGTAGGCTTAGATTTTGTACATTGATTGTTCTAAAAAGATGACACAGTGGGGAAGAAGTTGGTGAAACATAAATGACATACTACATTTGTGTGCAGACTTATGGTTACAACTGTGAAGATATGCAGAACTCATTATTTCTTAGAAGCGAAGAAAAGCCTAAAAGTAGAGAGAACAATGAGAGTTCTACACTTATCTGTATATAAGGTTTTCTTAATCAATGTCTCTTGATTTTACAAAATAGAATATAAGAAAAACTTATTGAACATGGACAAACATGTAGTGTTGTAGTCAGCTTTTTCTCTGCTGTGACTAAATGATCTGAACAGAACAATTCTAGAAAAGGAAGAGTTTATTTGAGGGCTCATGGTTTCAGAGGTCTGAATCCATAGAAGGCGGGCTCCATTCCTCAAGGCTCAAGGTAAGGCTGAACATCATAGTGGAATAGTGTGGCAGAGGGAAGCAGCTCACATCATGGTGATCCAGAAGCAGAGAGAGACACCACTCTCCAGATTCAGATGTATATTGCAAAGCCACTGCATTCTCCTACAAGCACACCCCACCTGCTCTGGATACAGTCAGAACCTTGGTGACCTGTGAAAGCACAAGTGGGGAGCCCTACACTGTCCAGCCCACACCTTGCAATGGGATCTCACATGCTTGAGTGTGTGAAGCTTGGGAAGAGCTTCTTGGCACTGTACAGCCTCCTGTCCACCACACCCAGAAAAACCACATGGGATCTAGAGAGACTACCAGTAAGAGTAAGACATGGAGCATAGCTATATCCAGGCTGTACTAATGAAGGGAAGAAGAAATGTGTTCCTCCAAAGCCTCAGACCCTCACAATGAGGACATATGGAAAGAAACTAGAATTATAAACCTGTCACCTATGATAAAACAGAAGGGACCCAAGAGTTCCCTGAAATGTTTATAGATTTTCACGTGTGTAGAGTTGTTAAAAGGAAAGATCTGTAGCTTTCAGCAGACTCTCAATGCCCATGGGGAATGCCAGAGTTAATTTTAAATCTAAAATAATAACCTTAGTTATAATTTTTTAAATTAAAAAATAATTATATAAAAAGTTATATACTGTAGTTATTTAGTAAGAAATATGGTCAATACGTGCATGATTTTAATAAAGAATAGGGAACTAAACCTAAAGGGTAATAAAAATGGCTTTAAATAAGGACTTTAAAAGATTTTTGTACATGAGTGCTCATGCAGCACTATTCACAACAGCCAAAAGGTGGAAAAAAAATAAATTCCATCAATGGATGAATAGATCACAAAATGTTGGGTACATATGGACTGGGACAGAGTCTAGTGTTGAAGAAGAAGAAAGTTCTGATACATGTTACAATGTGAATGAGCACATTATACTAAATGAAACAAACCAGATACAAAACAACACATACTGTATCATTCCACTTGTTGTAGGTGCCATTAGTTAAATTAATACAGAAATGAAGTAGAATAATGGATTCTGGCAGCTGGAGCAGAGTGTAATATGAAGTACTGCCTAATGTACCCGGTATAGTACCACTTTGTGGTGAGGAATGGTTCTGCAGATGGATAGTGGTTGTGACGGTTTATAATTAGAATGTCTTTTATAGTCACTAAAATTATTAATATAATAAATTATATGTTACATATACTTAACCACAACAAAAATATTTGAAATTTAATGAAAGAAAATGTTGCATGGATGTTCATAACTGCTTTACTTTCATTGAAAATTGTGTTTAAAGAGTTCTTTAGTATTATGAAGAACCTTCTAGACAGTGGACATGACCAAAGCATGATATATTCATGTCAGGAGAGGTCACAGTAAAACTCATTAATTTGCATAATTCATATATGTTAATAATTACAATTTGTTT